ACCCAGTGGCTTAAAACTCACACCGGGCGCGTGTGCGTGCGTGCCCAAGATCCCGAGAGGAGAATGGAGGAGAGGGGATTGCAGCATGACCATCCCCCTTGGGGGGCAATTTCTTGCTTTCTGTCTCTATGTTTCTCTGGAGAGCACACGCGCCCTATAGTAAAAACCTCTCAAAAAAAAAACAAAAAACAAAACAAGAGCCACAGCAGACCTAGCAGCGAGCTGTGAGAGGCATCCCCACTGGAGGCAGGAGGAAGACGAGGACACCCACCAAGAAACGAGAGCCTGAGGAAGGATGTCTATGTGAAACCGACGGCTACCACAGGACGAACTATTGTGTTTTATACATAATACTAAATGCTTTCCCTTTTAGGACTCAACACTGGATGAGAGGCTCAAGAAGGCACAATATGGGACCAGCAGATGGTGTAATGGCCACGTCGCTGGACTCCCACGTAGTCGACCACAGTTGGAGATCCAGACCCGGTGGCTTAAACTCATGCCAGGCGCATGCGCGTGCATGCCCAAGATCCCGAGAGGGGAATGGAGAAGGGATTGTGGCATGGCCATGCCCCCTGGGGGGTGAAGATCCCGAGAGGGGAATGGAGAAGGGATTGTGGCATGGCCATCCCCCCTGGGGGGTGATTCTCACTTTATGTCTCTCTGTCTCTGTCTTTCTGGCGAGTGCACGTGCGTTATAGCAAAAATCTCTTTAAAAAAAAAAAAAAGAAAACTATAAGAATAAGTGAATTTAAGGGCCAACAGGTGGCATAATGGGTGGAGCACTGGACTCCCACATTGCCAACCATGGTTCGAGCATGGCAGCCTGCTTGCTTGCTTTCTCTCTCTCTCTCTCTCTTTCTCTCTCTGGTGAGTGTGTGTATCCTAAATTTAATATAATAATAAATAAAATAATTCTTAAAAAAAAAAAAGAAGGGGGCCAGCAGGTGGCATGATGGTTGGAGTTGCTAGATTCCAATATGGCCTACCGCGGTTCGAATCCCGGACCTGGCAACTTGCTTTTTCGCTTTCCCTTTCTCTGTCTCTCTCTGGTTGAATTAAAGAAAGTGATAGAAACAAGTATAACTGAATAAATAAATCATTCTTTAAGAAGAAAAAGAAGAAGTGAGTTTAGGCCCCTGCCTGCCTGCCAAGGACCTCTCATACGGAACACACCATGCAAAATAGGACATTTACATTCCACAGATTTGCTAAGGACAAAGCCTACTGGACAAAGGAGGACCTGACGGTACTCATGGAAAAGGAGTTCTCAGGATTTCTGGAAAATCAAGAAGGCCTCTGGCTGTGGGCAAAATAATAAAGGACCGGGACAGTACGAAGAGGGCAGTGTGGGCTTCTGGAGCTTCTTTTCACTAATCGCGGGCCTCACCATTGCATGCGACAGCTACTTCGTAGTACGCAGGAAGCAGAAGAGAAGGGAGGAGGCAGAGCCGACCAGTTACTCCTGCTAGAGTCCTCCACAGGGTCACTGAAGGAACCCACCTTGCAGCTCTCCCTGGATAAGGATTTCATGAGTGGATCGGGAACCTCACAACGTGTACAAAGAAAATCTGACTCCCGTTGGAAAAGTTAATAAAGTGGCAGATAACCTTCTATTATTAGCACTCTCTTGCCCTCAATAAATAAAATACATTTTTAGTTGTTGTTGTTGTTGTTTTTTAAAAAAAAGGAGGGGCCAGCAGGTAGCATCGTGGATAAGGTGCTAGAGTCCCACATGGCCGACCACAGTTTGAGTCTCGGACCCAGTAACCTGAGAGGAAGATGGAGAAGGGACTGCGGTGCATCGATATCCCTGGGGAGGGGGGGTGATTATCACTTTCTATCTGTCTCTCTGGCAAGTGCACATGCCCTATAGCAAAAATCTCTCTCAAAAAAAAAAGTGAGTTTAGCTAAGTTGTAGGAGAGATTAGCTTTATGCTCTACGAACAATTAAAAAAAGAACTCATAATTTTTAAAACTAAATTTATAATAGCATAAAAATTAAAATATTAAGAGACTAAGGGTTAAATTGAATAAAAGACGTGCACGACCTTGCACTGTAAAACCAAACTTTGCTGAGAGAATTCAAAGAGACCTACATTTCCATTTTTAAGACATGTCTCTGCCAGGAGACCATTTTCTATTAGGTCCCTCACATTTTTCTGCATCTTGAAAACAGGGCTGACAGTCCTCTGGATCATCCTTTGTAGGAGTCTGTAGAGCAAATTCCTTGGAAAACAGAGATGGCATCTCTCTCTGGAGCAGAGGGCAGGATTTTCTGCTCTCTGATAAAATCCGCCAGGACAAGTGTCAGGAAGCTTTACTGATAGTACATTATAAAAAACTGAGGCTTGGGAACCAGCAGTTAGCATAATGGCCATGTCGCTGGATTCCCACGTAGTCCACCGCAGTTCACATCCTGGACCCGGTGGCTTAAAACTCACGCCGGGCGCATGTGAGTACGTGCCCAAGATCCCAAGAGGAGAATGAAGGAGAAGGGATTGCGGCGTGACCATCCCCTCTGGGGGGTGATTTCTCGCTTTCTGTCTCTATGTCTCTCTCTGGCTGGCTGGCGAGCGCATGCGCCCTGTAGCGAAAACCTCTCCAAAAAAAAATCCAAAAAAACCCTGAGGCTTGGGGGGCCAGCAGGTGGCATGGTGGTTAAGGGCGCTGCACTCCCACATGGCCAACTACGGTTCAAGTCCTGGACCTGGTATCTTGCTTTCTCACTGCCCCCCCCCTGCCCCCGCCACACACACACACACACCTACTCTGTCCCTCTCTGGTTAAATTAAAATAAATAAATAAAGGAGCTGGCAGGTGACATGGTGGTTGGTGCTGCTGGACTCCCACATGGCAAACCATGCTTTGAATCCCAGACCTGGCGGTTTGCTTTCTCACTTCCCACCCTCTAGCCCCCACCTCACATGTGTGCTTTTGCTCTGTCCCTCTCTGGTCGAATTAAAATAAATAAATAAATAAATAAACTGGACTAGCAGATGGTGTAATGGTTATATCGCTGGACTCCCATGTAGTCGACCGTGGTTCAAGTCCCAGACTCAGTGGCTTAAACTCACGTCAGATGCATGTGCATGCGTGCTCAGGATCCCAAGAGAACGGAGGAGAAGGGATTGCAACGTTGCCATGCCTCTTGCTTTCCGTCTTTCTGCCTTTCTCTGTCTTTCTGGCAAGTGCACACACCCTATAGCAAAACCTCTCCAAATAAATAAATAAATAAATAAAATTCAAAAAATGAATAAAGTTAAATAATTCTTTAAATAAATTCATTAAAGTTTGATAAAATAATTCTTAAGAAAAAAAAAAAAAACTGAGGCTCCCTATTCTCGGGATTCCTCAGCTTGGACATACAGCCACTGGGTGTGCAACATCTACCTGAGCCACTCCATGCAGTCCCAGGAGGACTTGGGACAAGCAGAACTGATGGAAACATGAAGTGTATGCTGCCTGAGGTGCTGTGAGTCTCTGACCAGGAATCTCATGTCTGTGGGCATCCATAAAACCGTGGCAAGTGAACTTGCTGGCTGAGACCGACACGGTTCACAACCATTGTCCTGGCTCCAAATGTTGTATTAACTCTCCCCAATTACCACCCAATCACAATCCTAATGTATAAATAAATAAATACATACATACATATATACATGTTTTGTAGAACTGGCATGCCATTTTAAAGTGCTATATAAAGGGGTTCACATGGTAGTACAGAGTTAAAACAAGATGCTCTGTGAGGCTGACACACTTGGGAAAGGTTCAGGTTTGTGTCCGGAGACCTCTAGACACAAATGTATGGTGCATCCACATGTGCCCATAAGCTGGGGCTGGATGAGGCCAGGGTGGACAGTGTTATCAGAACCCTACTGGAAATACTGTCTCTCTATTTCTCTCATACATGGACGAAATAAACTTGGGGGGGAAAAATGTTATATGGGCCAGTAAGTGACACAGAGGTTAAAAGGCTGGATCCCCCTAGCCAACTGCGTGGTTCAAGTCCCAAACCCAGTGGCTTGGAAATCACACCGGGCACACATGTGCACCCAAGATCCCAAGAGGAGACTGGAGAATGCCAGCACCCAACATTCCGAGAGAATAGAGAAGGGACTGTGACATGGCCATCTCGCTTGTGATTTTTCACTTTCCCTCTCTGTGTCTCTCTCTGATGAGTGCACACACCGTAGGGCTAAAAATCTTTTTTTTTTTTTGAGAGGTTTTTCACTATAGGGCGCATGCACTCGCCAGACAGACAGAGACAGAGAGACAGAAAGCAAGAAATCACCCCCCGGGGGGATGGCCGCGTCGCAAACCCTTCTCCATTCTCCTCTCGGGATCTTGGGCATGCACGCACACGCGCCCAGCGTGAGTTTTTAGATACCGGGTCCAGGACGCGAACTGTGGTCGACTCCGTGAGAGTCCAGCGACATACCCATTATGGTAA